CACCCTCTGACCCCCCACCTCTCCCTCCCGCAGGGTCATTGTGGGGCCGGTGTGCGCTGGTGGAGCAGCTGCACACTGAGCAGCGCTGGGCACTGTGGGACAGCGGTGCCGTGGTGCTGGTACTGTCACCAGCTGCCGCAAAGTTTGGGGTGGCTGAGCCCCGTTAGCCCTGGCCTTCCTCCGGCTCTGATCGGCTGAGAGCTGTGGCTCTGTAGGACAGACAAGCCCTGATAGGACGCAAAGCCAAAAGTTCCTTTTTATATCTCTGATCCGGCACTGCTTCAAAATCCTTTTAGCAAATGATGTAAGTGCCACAATAAAGGGACAAGCATTTCAATCACGAGGACAAATGAGACCTCACAGGAAACTGTATTTGCCATTCCACTATGGGCCAGATTTATCTTGACTGCTACAAATAATATTGGGTTTCTGCTGCCTTCTGCTGCGGGCCCTGGGGAGAAGCTGACAGCACAGAGTCCAGGTGTTTCCTTGGTGTAACTTATTTGTTTACAACTATTTACCCCAGAAACGGGACCGGCGCAGTCGTAAAAGCTCTTTTAGAGTTTCCCATGACTCTCAGGAGCCAGGGCTGAAGGGGGGACCCCCAGAGGCCAGCTAGTCTGCCCGCCCCAATCCCGTAACCCAAATAATTTGGGCAAACAATTGTCTACCATGCTCTTAGTGATGGAGAGTCCTCTAGGTAATCTATCCCAAGCCGGGCTATACCACAAATTGACTCTAGTTAGATTGAAAAACCACACAACAGCAGCTTCCTTTACAGAATCAAAACCAAAGACTTAGCGACGCTTGTGTTTTTTCTTCTGCTCATATATTTAGAGCTTGCAAGGCTATGTGTCACAGCACGCGGCGACGATCTCCACCGCAACGGGGTCCACAACACTTTACAGGCAATAAGAAAACACTGAATACGGTTACTCTGGAGTGACGGTCGCTAAAATCTAATCTAACCCACACCCAACACATAAGAGACAGGAAATCCTGAACTCAAGTGCTTTCTTGGGATTATCTGTGATGATGATACACAAATCAAAGGCTTTCAGACCCCAGGCTGAGTTTCCAGCATAGAGAAGTGAGAAAAGGAATGGGCTTTTTTAATGTTTTTCTTTCCCCACAACTTGCAGAGTTTAAAAAAACCCAGAGCTGGAAGTCACGAGAAGCAAGTATGGAACCTCACCACTGTGTTTTAAGAGTAACGTTTCCACTGGATCCTTGCTTTTTCACATAGATACCATAAGATCTCTACAGACAGATGGTTAAGGTCCTTCTTTTACATCTAATGAGAAAAGAACTCAAGCACGATGCAGTGAGAAACAGTCAGGTTTTGTCTCTCACAACTTTTCGTTTTTAGTTTGTCTCCATTTTCTGAGGTGCCTCTGCATGCTTTCTTTTTCTCTGAAGCAAGGGAAAAACCCTACTTCCCTAAGCCTCAACTCCTATTACCCTTCTTCATTCCTTTAAGTCCGTAAAGATCTAACACAGTGGATGCGCCTACACGTGCATTAATGTGCTTTTGCTATTACGTATTAAGTTTAATACCTCTAATACAAGGCATTACATAAATGCACATTAGTCTGCCCTAATGCGCAGTAGCAAAAGTGCATGCCTTTTTAGTGATGCTTAACGCACAGTAGCCTATTTCTATTGTGCATTAGTTTATTAGCACTGTTTTTGACACAACGCTTTAATGTGTGTAGAATAAGCTACTGCGCATTAAAGTGCATGTGTGGATGCACCCAGTGACTCTCAACCAGAGTGCTGCGGTATTATGGGGCGTCCTGAGAGCCTTTCAAGGGTGTTGCAATGTTAGCACTTGTAGGCGTGCAAATGTGATTCACAAAATAAACCCAGAGATCCCACACAAGAATCCATCATGTTAGAAAACCCACAAGAGGCCACAGCATTTTTAAGTTCTTTGCAATGAAAATTGCTCTCTAACTTTTCCATAGTCCAAAAAAAATGAGTGAAAACTAAAACTGGCATTTTCTGAGGGGTGTCTTGAATCCAACAAGAAGTGATTTGAGTCTAATGAAGAGTGCTTCAAGTCTAAAGAGGTGGAGAACCAGCAATCTAACATAAGGAACAAGGAAAATGTCAGGCCCACGCTCGCACAATGACATGCACTTCATTTAGCAGGGCAAATGCTGCTGACAGTTCCCAACTATGATTTGACATCTGCAATATATGAGTTACAGCAATAAATGGGAGATAATCCCTGTTGTGTGTGAAGCAGAAAGAGAAATTCCAGTATGAAAGAGGCAGTAGAAAAACAGATGTAAAGGACTGCTCTATGAAATCCACTTAGAGAATGGAAATCTGGTGCACGGAATAAAAATTGTGTTTTGAATGTGCTTTTCCTTTTTCTAGCCTTCCTTTGGGAAACACAACTTGTTTCCCACTCCCCACCTCTGCTCCCACATGCCTTTTAAGTATCTGATTTTATATTGATTCCCCTGTAATTATTAGTCAAAGGGAGTAACAAAAGTGAGAAACAGAAGAACTATATTTCTTAAGTACACTGAGATGTAAAATAAAACCAACAGCTTTTAAAAAAACAACAAACCCAAACTATCTGAGAGATAACTATTGCATTATTTTTTGTACTGAGCCTCACGATGACAGTTAAAAATATGTTGGATTTGTTTGGTTTCTCCTTCCATTTCATATTCGGCTTCGTTCCATCTCCCCTCCCTGCAACATCTTGTAGATATTACAAAGATGATACGCTCAGATTTAGTCCTGCGGTTCAGATCAGGTGGTTATATTCCACCGCAACATTTTGCAAGGGTTTCAGCGGGAACACAGCAGCCTTTGTCTCCCATCCCAAACTGTAGGATGATATTCATGTATACGATTATCCAGCAGTGTGACGGCTGCCCTTATCCCTCTGCATGGATTAGGCTCTTAAAGTCACTCGACTCGCCTGAGCAGTCCCTAACCACAGCGGACAAATCCCAGGACCAGAAAGCGGCAGCTCTGTGCATGCCCTCGTGCCCACCCATAAGTTGCTTCCGACATAGAGGATCCACCTGCCTTGTTAGGCTGTGGATGACTGTACCTGCCATAAATGACGTTTTTCCTGGCTAACTTCAGATGTGCAGGTGCCTGAAACCAGCTCGCAGCCTTCGATGGGGCCCGTTGGCAGCTTGAGCGTTTGGTTCCCACTCTTTCGCCTGGAATGAACCCGCCTCACAATGGGTGGGATTCTGTCCCTGGTTCTTTGCGGGTCACAGGCACCAACCGATCCTTAGGCTTTCCAACTAAATGACCCTAAACTCCTAGAAACCGTTAACACAAAAGGTAGGTAGGTCATCCTCCTCCTCCTCCCAGCTTGGCCTTAAAGCCAAGAAAGGGTGCTAGGGGCATTAACATTTTTTTCCGGGACTTGGGGTGGGACAGAACTGCACTTACATGCCTAAGTCCCAGTGCGATGCCTCAGGGGTGGAACAGGATCTGGAATAGGCCTATTAAAATAATCAGAGAACTGGCAGACTGATGGCATCGTGTGTTTTTCTCACCTCACCAAGTTTGTGGGAGGATTATTAAATTACTCCCTTGAAATCGAGTTTTCACTTGAATCCAACATTAGGACCACTCTCCCTATGAGCAAGCACAGTAGCCTGAAACTAATTTAAACCCCCAACTAATATTTTTTTCCTCCATTTGGGGCCACGTGCCGCTTTCAAAAGTGGATGGTTTGCTGCTTGGAACATATGCATCTGCATTTAGGAAGATGGCAGAATTCAAATGCCTGATAAGACTAGCAAAGAGACTGACTGCAGACTGTGGGCACTGCAGATTTCGGCCAAGGCAATCAGAGCTGGAGCTGGATTGAGCAACTACACTGAAAAGTCCTATCCCAAGTTACCCCAAATT